TGCTCCACTTCGGCAGCCCGGGATTCACAGGTTCAGATCCCAGGCACAGATCTATGCACAGCCTATCAAGCCATGCTGTGGCAGGCGTCCCACATATAAAGTAAAGGAAGGTGGTCACAGATGTTAGGCCGGTGCCAATCTTCCCCAGCAAAAAGAAGAGGATTGGCAACAGATATTAGCTCAGGGCTAATCTTCCTCACCAAAATAGAAAAACCTAAAGAGGTAGATAGAAAGATGAAAAAAGATACACCAGGAAAATATGAACTGGGTTGTGATCTTAACATCTGTCAAAAAGGAATTTTAGTCTCAATAGATAACAAGTGACAAAAAGTCATTATAGTGGGCACAAGGGGTGGAGGGATGCACTTACATGGTGACTGATAAACAATAATGTACAACAAAAATTTCACAATAAAAAAATTAATTAATTAATTAATTAATAAAATAAAATAAAATCCTGGGCAGAGGGAGGGGGTCTGGGTGCCCTGTTGAGATAAGGGGGAGCAGGCTGAGACAGTGGGCAGAGCCCTGTCCTCCAAGCTGGTCTTTCCGCTGTTTGTCAAGCAGTTGGTCATTGATAGAATTATTGTGCTTGCTGACACATGCACAGGCTAGAATGAAGCACAGACTGTATAACAAAGATCACTGTTACGTTGGGTTTCTTTCTGAAATCTCTTTTATTTCATTTTGGAAACTAACAAGCAGAACTGGTTTGAATTAAAAAAAAAGTCATCATATACTCGTAAAAGAAACAATAGGGAAACATACATGCAACAGGCAAAACACATAGATGCACCGTATTATACAGTCTTAAAATATACAGAACTGCAAGGAGAAGTAGATAGATGCATAATCATAGCTGAAGATTTTAATATCCCCCTCTCAGAAACTGATATATCAAGGCTTGAAGTATAATTACCATATTTCAACAATTCTGCTCCTTATACAAGGTTGGACTCTAGGAGAATTAAAGATATAATAAATGTGAAAAATAAAATTATAAAAAAAATGGGAGACTATTATCGTTTGTGACTGAAAGAAGGGAAACGCAAAACTTCAAAAGCACAAACTATAAGACATATTGATGAATAATAAGGATTTCTGTTCAACAAAAGACGCTGTGGACAAAGTAACTAGATGAGAGAATGAGAGAAGATACTTGAAATACTTAATACACAAAACTCTTGTGAGCAAATGAGGGCAGCAACCCCTAGAAAAAAATAATCAAAAAGTACGAACAGAGAGGAAATCCAAAAATCAAAAGGCATATGAAAAGATGCTCAAAAATATCAGAGAAATGTTAATTAAAACAGCAATGTGCTATCCTTTTCTATCCGTTAAACTATAAAAATTTCCTAATGCTAGCTGGTGGGGTTGTGGGGACGCTGGAAGCTTTATGCATGGTGGTGGGAATATGGACCAGTTTAGCCATTGTGGAAAGCAATCTGACATAAATTATGTAAGTTAAGAACTCATATATTCCATGAGCCCTCAGTAACACTCCTGGGATATATTCCAAAGAAATTCTTCTGCAGGCACATAAAGGGTTGTGCGTTAAAATAGTCATTGCTGTGTTCTTTATGACAGTGGGGACTCGAAGACAACCTGGCTGTCTATCACTGGGAGAGTAGATAGCTAAAATGTGCTAAATGTTGGATAATGAGATATTACGCAGCAATCAGAAGCAATAGATTAGAGATATACACAGCAACATGAATGCATTTTTGAAACAGTGCTCAGTGAAAAATATGAAGAAACAAAATGAGATTTAAACACTATACTATAATGGGCCGGCCCCATGGCTTAGCGGTTAAGTGTGCGTGATCCGCTGCTGGCGGCCCGGGTTCGGATCCCGGGCGTGCACCAACGCACCGCTTCTCCCGCCATGCTGAGGCCGCGTCCCACATACAGCAACTAGAAGAATGTGCAGCTATGACATACAACTATCTACTGGGGCTTTGGGGGGAAGATAAATAAATAAATCTTTAAAAAATAATAATAAAAAAAAATAAACACTATACTATTTACATAAATTAAAAATACATCCATGCAAAACAAAAATTCACATTTTGTAAGAACATGTACAAACAAAAAAATATACATCAAATAGAACTTAGTTGCTTGTGTGTGGAAAGGAAACGGAATTAAAGGGAAAAAATAAATAACGAAATTTAAAAGGGATAATGACTGGGGCCAGCCCTGGTAGCCTAGTGGTTTAAGTTCAGCACCCTCCACCTGGGCTGCCCGGGTTGGGTTACTGGGTGCAGACTTACACCACACATCTGTTAGCGGCCATGCTGTGGTGGCAGCCCACATAAAAAAAGGAGAAAAAGAGGAAGACTGGCAACAGATGCTGGCTCAGGGCGAATCTTCCTCACCAAAAACAAAACAAAACAAAACAAAAAACCACCTCATCTGGAAGAGTATGGTTCAGCAGCAGAATGATGGTGTTCAAAAACAACTCCTAGAAGGAAATGAAAAATATTTCAAAGTCTGTGTGCAGAATGGGTGGAACTATGCATGAATTTTTTCTTGTTAAAATTACCTTAATTTCTGAAATAATGTTTGTACAATCATTCAAAATAAAGGCAAAAGAAAATTTAACAAAAGTAAAAGCAACAGCTTTAAAAACAATATTCAAATGGATCCTTATTGTTTACTCCTTCCCCAAAATTCTGCATGAAAATCAGTATCTTTACCTGGTGATATTTGAAAATATGTAGCAATTGGTAGAACATATGCTTGACCAATCAGAGCAGACATTAGTAGTAAACAATGCTCATATCAGACTGGCAGCCCTAAAATGTGGATCACCCCACACACCAGCCTTCCAACCCCAAGACCATGTTCAGACTCAGCACCTGAAGCCTTGCCCTTTTTCATAATGAAAGACTCACGTTATAGAAACAGATAGAAAGGGGAAGGGTGCCAAAATATGTCACTCCAGAATATGCCACTTTGGCATAAGGATTCTATTGAGCTAAAGGCACTTGAAAAACAGCAGATACAAAAGGGACTCTCTGATCTCCCCTTTTCCTCCTGAAAACAGGAGATAAAACTCCCATGTGAGAGCTGCCCTCCATATACCAGGAGAAAAGAAACATTCTTATCATCAAGGACAGGAAGTTGATACCGAGAGAATTCTACACAAACAGACCTTGTTAAAATAGTTCTTATCTTCCTTCAGCCTCCTTGTATAATCTGGTAACTTTTCTACAACTGCCTCTTTTTGTTTGACCTAGTATTAAAGCATTTAGGTTTTGCCACTTCTTTGGGTCTTGATTTCCTTATGAGGGCTCCAGTGTCACATAAAACTTCTGTTAAATAAACCTGTATGCTTTTCCCGTGTTAACCTGTCTTATGTCAATTAAATTCTCAGGCCCAGCTGAAGACCCTAAGAAGGTAGAGGTAAAGTTTTGCTTCCCCCACGAAGGCAAGTTTCCTAAACCAGAATATTCCAAAGATTGTAAGGCCCAGAAACTACACCAGGCACCAACCTACAGGAAAGAAGGAAGAAGGAGTTCCTGCTGCTCCTTCCTGACCTCACCACCCATACCTGTAATCCTGGTCCCCCGCTCTTGGACTCTGGAATTTGGTCCACACATACCCTTCTCCACTGGACAGACTCTTACACATTCTTCAAGAGTTGGCTCAAAACTCGCTTCCTTCAGGGGGCCGGCCCTGTGGCCTAGCAGTTAAGTTCGGCGCTCTCTGCTTCGGCAGCCCGAGTTTGGTTCCAGGAGTAGACCTACATCACTCATCAGCCATGCTGTGGTGATGACCCACATACAAAATAGAGGAAGATTGGCACAGATGTTAGCTCAGGGCGAATCTTCCTCAGCAAAAAAAAAAAAACAAATAACAAAAAAATCACTTCCGTCATAAAATCTTCCCTGAAACCACTAGCCACAGTTTTACTCATTCTTTCAACTAATATTTATTGAGCACCTACTACAGACCCTGTGCTGTCATATGACAGCTGTGACTAGGCCTGACTCTCATTAGCCTTTGGTGTAGTCCTAGTAAAACAAAGGACAGAAGGAGTCAGCATTTCATCCTCACAGCCATGTTTACAACGAGTCCTGTTATTAACCCCATTTCACAAATGTGAAAAATGAGGCACAGGAAAGTTAGATTACTTGCCGAAGGTAATACAACTGGTAAGTAAATAGAACCAGGAATCAACCATGGTGGCTTAAACAGCTGGCAACCACACTGGCTGTATCACTTCTTAATATAAAAAGGCTGTCACACTTCACTCAATTGCTTGTTTGCGTGTTTGGTTTTTTTGAGAAAATTTTTAAAAGAGGAAAATTACTTTGTGCTTATTTTCCTTAAAAGAGTATTTCTTCCGTGTGGAACATTGCCTACTATCTGTATTCAATAGTGCTAGATATTCAGTCACTCACTCAACAGCCTAATGCAATGGAAGGATAATCTTTGGAACCAGAAAAACTTGAATTCAGATACTGGCCCTGCCCCTTATCAGCTGTTTGACCCAGCTGGTAACCTGAGCAAGTGACTTGACCGTTCTGAGCAGTTTCTGCATCTGTAAAAGGAATACAATAACAGTTTCCTCTACAATGGCTGCTATGCAGGTTAAAGGAGTGCATTGCAGGAGCTCCTCAAATTTATAGGAAAGTTTATTTACAGAAAACTTTGCAATCTGTAAAGAGCTACATGAATGCATATGATAATGATGTTGTGAGCAGATGGTACAGAAAAGATAAATGTAAGACCAGCAAACCAGCAAACAAGTAATAATTAATTAAAAATTAGGTCACAAAACAGCAGAGAAGCAAAAGAACTTTCACCAAGTATCTTTCCTTATGTTAAGAGGAGGTCTAATTTTGTTTTTAAGGCTTGATACATCTACAAGAAGAAAACATACCACCCACAAGTACAACCATCAGAACTGCTCAGTAAATACTAAGTAATACAGATATTTAAACAAAATAAAATCCTGGGATGTACTGGGATAAATTGAAAGTGAGGATCAAGTTTATACAGAAGCTTATTTACCAACAGTTAGTTTTAGAAACACCATGATAATGCTAGTAGTAACAGGTACTATTTGTTGACTGTATATTTATATGAGGCACTTTACACACATAGCTCATTTGATCCCTACAACTTCATGAACTAGTAATCATCACTCCCTTTCCATGGACAAGGAAATAGAGGCCCCAAGAGGTGGTGCGACTTTCCCAAGGTCGTACAGAGCAAAGGAGGTGGGGTAGAAATACAAAGCCGAAGTTCATTCAAAAAGAGCAAGTAATGTTGCTCCCCAGATGTTGCCACCTCATGAACACTTCTCCTTGTAAGCCACATCGTTTCCTCTGAGCGTAACCATGCTATCGTTACAGTTCATCCTTCTGGTCAACACCGACTTCCTCATTTCCACCCAGAAATGCTCTTGCAGCATCATCTTCCTTCATCTGCCTGTCAGTTCCCGCTTCCTCAGCAGAATCCTCTTCACTTCCTTCTTCTTCAATTCCCCAGATGTCATCTTCCCTTTCCTCCTCCTTTGCCTTTTTCTTCTTGGCCTCTTCTTCCTGTTTTCTTTTTTCCATTTCTTCGTACACTTCTCTCCATTGCTTCTCTACATCCTGTTAGAATGTGGAATTTCAAAATAATTTACAGATGGTACAAACAAAGTCAACCCACTTTAGAAATGTCTGGCATCTTCCCACACTCTTAAAGATTTCTGGGATGGTGTTTATTTACATACAAATTTTCAGTATGTGTGGGGTGGAGAGAAGTGTGTGTGTGTAATTTGTTCATAAATAAAATTGGTTCTGATTCAACAAACATTTACTGAATGCCTAGAGCATTGCTAAGCATGGTGCGTGACGATCTACACACATTACTTCTACTCCTCACAGCAATATATGAGGTAAGTGTTACTAGTCCCACTTTCTAGATGAGGGATCTGAGGTTTGGACTGATTAAATGACTTGCCCAAGATATATAGCTAGTGAGTGGTAGAACTAGGATTAGAAACTGGGTTTACTGGCTCTGAGTTTGGCCCTCTTTCTGCTACACCACAGTAATACAGTCTTTAGGGAACTCTTTCAATTTGCTTTTGAACTGTGACCATTACAAACTTGTATTAAGTCAAAAATGGGACTCCTTCTGCGTTCTCTAATGTGTTCATCCAGATCCCAGAATTGGATCCCTAGAGCCATCTTCATAGATTTTTCTATTCAGAGGGGCCTTAAAAAAAGGATACCATCAAAACCCGTCTAAGACTTTAATCCTCACCTAGAGAATCTAGGCCAAGTGGTCTTTTACCCAGTCTTGGGGGACAAAGCTAGATTGAGAACCTACATGCCCAGTAGGCTGGGGCCTTCTAGAATCCTGCTGGGAGCATCTTCCCACATTATTAGGGGAAGAAAATCTCTCTTTCGATCAGACCTTCATTTTCTTCTGCCTGGAAAGCACTGACTACAATTAACACCTCTATTTCTTCACTTCCCTCTCACTGCTCTACTCCCTGATCTGTTTCTACCCTCCATTCTTCACCAAAACTGCTCTTGCTAAAGGTAACCAAAGACCACCAACTCCAACTCCTCAACTCCACACAGGCCTACAACAATCCATTAAACCTGTCTCGTTTTCATTAGACCTCAACCAACTCACGTCCTCACTTTTCTCCTTTATTTTTCTGTGATCACTCACTTGCATACCTCTTCAACTCCCTTGCCCTTCCCTCCCTTAGTTGGGCAGACCTTCAACTTTGGTTAAATCCAACTCTCCATTGCCTGCACCTAAGCAGAGAAGATGGCTAGAAAAAACAAAAAACCAAACTGATTGTTCCCTTTTTAAACTCACTATAACTAAACTCAAGTGAGCCCTTACTGCTAGCCTGTGAACCTGCTATATTTCTGTGGTTGATTCACTCTCCTTCTCCTTGGTTAACTATTTTTCACCTTCTTCTTCTCCTCAAACCTCCAACGCATTTTTCCCAATCTGATGCTAAGTTGTTGGCCTTACTTCCTATTCCACAATCAGAAGAAATTTTCCACATACTCTGCTGCAGCCATGGAGGTAGGCCACTTGGATTTCCCTTGAAGAACTTGTCAGTCAGTTGTGAGGAGTGCCATGAGCTAATAGCCTATAGCTGCAACACCTGGGGATCCACGGCGGCATTTGAGCCCAGGACACGCTGTTCCAAAGCAGCCCCTAGCCAATGGCTGAGCATGGCGGGGGTTCTAGGGTCTGGCCATTTCCTACACAGTACTCTTCTATAGTCGATCTTTCCACTGGAGCCCTGTTGGGCTGGTGAGACTTTCTCACTGCACTCGGCCAGCAATTCCTACCCAATCCTCCTTCTTTCCCCCCCTCTCCTTTCACAGGTGTCAGACTTGCCTGTCTATTCCTGCACCCTCTTACCCTTCTTCTTTCCCAGGCATTATCCCCAATAAATCTCCTAGATTTCTAACTCTATCTTGGTGTCTGCTTCCTAGAAAATGCAACTGACACATACTCCCACCACCACATCTACCCACCTACCTGTATTTATTCTCAGATAGTCATTCTTTCCTTTTGTGATTTCGGATGAAATATTTGTACTCCTATGGAAAACCAACCCATCTTTTTGGGCAATACATCTCATCCACTGTCATAGTCTCAAGAACATTGTTCCAGAAATTCTCTTTCTCTCCTATATTCTCTCTCCCTTTATTGGATGATTTCCATTAGCATACAAGTAGGCAGGAAGATCTTCTATATATAAAAAAATCTTGACGCAACATTTCCCTTTACCTACCATCCCATTCTCTCTACATTTTTTATAGCAAAACTCCTCAAAAGACTACTCTATACTTGCTGTTTCTAGTTGTTCTCCTTCCATTCTTTCTCGAACCCTTTTTTGCCTATACCTCTCCACTGAAACTGCACTTGTCAGAGTCACCAATGAACTCCATGTTACTAAATTCAGTGGTCCATTCTCAGTCCTCATCTTTCTTGACCATTTGAGATAATTGATCTCTCCTTTTCCCCCTTAAACTACTTTCTTCACTTGGCCTACAGGATACTGCTCTGTCTTGGTTCTCTTCTATCTTGCTGGCTACTCTTTCTGTCTTCTTTGCTGGTTCTACTTTATCTCCCTGATCTCTAAATATTGGGGTGCCCCAAAGCTCATCCTTGAATCTCCTTTTTATATATTCCCACTCCTTAGGAGATATCATCCAGCTTCATGGGTATTATCTGTAGGCTGATGACTCCCAAATTTATATCTCTTATCCAGACTCATATCCAACTGCCTCCTTGACATTTGGATTTCTAATAATCATATCTGACTTAACGTTTAACTATTCTGTCATTTATTTCTGTCTCCATCCCCACCCTCAAATATGATTCTCCCTTGTTCTTGCCTATCTTGGTAACTCCATCCTTCTAGTCACTCAGTTCAAAAACCTTGGCGCCATCCTTGTTTACTCTTAGTCTTGTTCCATATCTAATCCTAAATTCCATATTCCATATCTAATTACTTCTGTGAGTTTTGCCATCAAAATGGATCTAGAATCTGAGCATTTCTCTTTATCTCTGCTACCACCACCTACTTCTGCCTTTGTTCCACTACAGTCTTTTTTATTCCTATAGTCTTTTGCAACACAACAGCCAGAGTAATATCTTATACTGTGAACCAGTTCATACCACTCCTTCACTAAAAATGGCTCCAATGGCTCCCATTTTACTCAGGGACATGGCCCCAACTACTCTCCTTCTCTCTCACTCAGCTCTAGTTACACTGGCCTTCTTACTCTTTCTTGAACAAGCAAGTTATGCTTCTATTTCAAGGACTTTGCATTTGCTGTTCTCTCTACCTAGAAGGCCTTTCTTCTTCAGATATCTGCATGGCTTGCTCCTTACTTCCTCCAAGACTCTTAAATGTTACTTACTCAACGAAGCCTCCCCTGACCACTCCTGATCACAGCCCTCTGTATTGCTTTATTGTTCCCCATAGTTTGTCTCACCAACTCACTGTATATATTTACTTCTTTATATGTTTCTTGTTAGTGTCCCCTAACTGAATATAAGTCCCACGAAGGCAGAAACTTCTCTATTTCACTGATATCTCCCCAGCAACTATAATAGTGCCTTGAATAGGTACTCAACAGCTGTTTGTCAAGTGAATGTCTGGTTTAATAATAATAGGTACCAGGTATTGAGCAGTTACTATATGCCAGGAACTTACAAGACAGTTGCTATCATCATTCCCAATTTATAGATGACAAAACTGAAGATCAGAGAAGTTAAATAACTTGCCCAGGATCATACAGCTAGTAAGTGATGGAGCCTGGATTTGAACGCAAGCAATCTAACTCTAAAACTCACACTCTTAACCAATATGTAACATTGCCTCAACAAAACAATATTAGATGATAACCCCAAAGTAAGAGCAATGCAAAACCAGACTAAAAAGTATAAGAAAGTCTAATAATTTTTTATTTTTTCCATGATGACTAACTACTTCAATGTTTCTTTGGAAATATTGAGTATCAAAGTTCTCTCAAAAAATTTTTTTTGGTGCCTGTGCTTTGCTGGTACTCTAAACACAAGCTTAGTCTGCCTATTGGGTAATCCAGTACTGGCCACAAACCTGCTTGAATGGACCTTCCTGCAGAACCAGGAAGTCTGGATGGAGGGTGTCACCATCATGAAGCCAGTGGACCAATTATCACTCCACTCACAAAACAGTTCTAGGAGAGCAGGGAAGCTGGTAAACAGCACTAACACCTTCCTTCTTTCTCCAAGCCATCCATCAGAAATGGGTTCAGTGGCTCCTTTCAAGATCACCACACGGTGAGCAGGGAGTGTGACACAGAAGGAGCATCAGTTCTAACTCAACAAGTTAAAGGCTGTATGTGACCTTGGGCAGTTTATATATACTGTCTATATCTATCTCAGTTCCTATATCTGAAAAACAGGAATTATAGTATCTGTCTTGCTGGGTTGTTTTAAGGACTAAGTGGGATAACTTTTGGAAAATGCTCAGAGAGTCAAGTACCAAGTTGTAGATGTCCAGTGAATATGAGTTCTTTCCCCCACCCCTCAGGGCCATGTGACCAGCAAGTGAGACAATGACTATGAGGCTGATTTTTAAAATGCAAAGAACAGTATACAACTGAGGAGTTAGACTCCTGGAATTCAGAGTGGGAGAATATCTTACTTTTCTTATTCCCCAGGTCTTATTTCCAACCTCTTCAGCAAACTCTTCATCAGTTGTAAGAAGGAAATTGTCAAAGATGCTGCCTGATTTCACCTGTTGAAACGAAAACAAGGGGATTAGAACTAGGGCGCAGGGCTTAAAAAATCACCTGGGGGCCTTGCTAAATGCAGAGTCTCAGGCCACGGGCCCAGAGATTTTCATCAATAACTGAGGTGGAGTGAGGGAATACAAAGGTGATTAATAATACAGAGGGTCCAGAAGGCTGTACCACCATAGCTGATCCACTCTAGAAAGAAGTTAATTTACTGTTTCCCAAGGTTCTGTGCTCCTCAAGCCTCTGACCACTATTTTAGAGGGTTGTGAAGAAATTTTCAGCACTCTGCTAGGCTCCAAATTGCTATCCACTGGCTGTTGCCCCAGCTCAGATTGACAGCACCTACCTCTGATCCACTTATAGATGCCCTTTTTAAGGTTTCCTCCTTAATATAATCAAAAAAACTAAAACATAGAGAAAAGAAAAGGTTTGACAAGAAATGTGAGCACAATTTAGACTGTCTACCATATTTCTCTATTTTCTTAAAATTACATATTTAGTATTTACAATTAAGGGAAAAGATGAATTAAGTCAATGGTATATAATAATCTCAGTGTTTGTTGATTTAATGAAAAAGGAACAGAATAGAAAGAGCACAAGTCGGGCCAGCTCCGTGGCTTAGCGGTTAAGTGCACGCGTTCTGATGCTGGCGGCCCGGGTTCGGATCCCGGGCGCGCCCCAAGGCACCGCTTCTCCGTCCAGCGCGAGGCTGAGTCCCACGTACAGCAACTAGAAGGATGTGAACCTATGACATACAACTATCTGCTGGGGCTTTGGGGGGAAAAAAGTGAATAAATAAAATCTTTAAAAAAAAAAAAAAAAAAAAAGAAAGCACAAGTCATGGAGTCAAACAGACCAGCTCAACCACATACTAGCTGTGTGACTTTAGGCAAGTTACTCAACTCCTCTGAGCCTATTTCCTCATAAAGTAAAGTATTGAAAATAATAACTCCCTTGCAATGTTGTCATGAGAATTAGAAATAATATACATATCGAAAGCACAGTGTCTGGCAGATAACAGTCACTGAATAGGTGGTAATAATTATTATCATAACTTTTCAGTATCTGGATATGTTGCAAAAAGGAAGGTCATTCTGTATTTTTTTACTTTAGCAGTATGTTAAATGAGTCATCAAGCTAATTGTGCAGGAGCACTGGTGTGACCAAGAGAAAATTTGCAGCATGAGTTATCATGTGTCCTTCCTCCAGGGTTTGAAAAAAGTTTTGTTTTGTTTTTTTAAATAAGAAAAACTTTTATTTGGCTTACATCATCCCACCAACCCTGCTTCCAACAGAAAAATAAATTACAAAATAGCCACTTTGAATAGAGACCGTTATTTTGCTCTGAGCCATTTTTTAAATCAGTTTTAATAATCCCTTGTGCAACTGAAAAAAAATTTTTTTTGTGGAAGATTGGCCCTGAGCTAACATCTGTTGCCAATCTTCCTCTTTTTCTTTTTTCTCCCCAAAGCCCCAGTACCTAGTTGTAGGTCCTTCTAGTTCTTCTGTGTGGGACGACACCTCAGCACGGCTTGATGAGTCGTGAGTATGTCCGCCCCCAGGATCTGAACTGGCGAACCCGGGCAGCCGAAGCGGCATGCGCGAACTTAACTACTACGCTACCGGGCCAGCCCCCTAAAATATTTTTTTACCGGTGTGTTTTTTTTTTTTTGAGTTGTCAGCAGTCTTGGTTCGAGAACTGCTCATTTGTTGGCTCTTCCATTTTCCCTACTCCCATGAGAAATGTTCCTAGTCTCCCCTGTTCCCTTCAGTGCCCTCTTGTCCCCATTCCCCTTACACTACACTCTCGGCTCTGCCTCCAACTAAGAATCCGGATGTGAGGGCCAGTCCTGCCTCCTAAAACTTTCTAGTGGAGTGACCTCAGTCTACTGACATCCTTTCTCTGCTCCATGTTTTCATCTGGAAAATGGAAGAAATTATACCTTCCCTGCTTTCTTCATACAATTCTCAGAAGAAAAGAACATATGAGAAAGAGCTTTGTTAGACTGTAAAGCCTAAAAAGTTAATTCACTGAAAGTTACCTAGTTTCCTATGCTATCCCACTTGAATCATAAAATGGAAAGAGGATAGGTTTGGGGACTTGTTAGCTATGGGATGTTGACAAGTCAAGTCACCTCTCTGAGCCCTCGGCTCATTCCTGAGTAAAACGGAGGTGGTAAGTCCTACCCTCCCAGCCTCGCAGAGCTGTGACATAGACCATATGACTTAAGGGATGTCACTGTGCTTTGTATATGGCAAGGATATACTCATTGCATTTTGTGTCACTATTCCTTCAAAGATCAAAAGGAGTCCCAAAGGTAAGAAAAAGAATTTTCTTTGTTCCCTGCCATCTCCTCCCAGCCTCTGTTCTGACGAAAGAATGCAATCACTTCTGCTCAAGCAAAATAAAAAAATAAAGGCAAAGGGATTGAGTATGGAGGTGTCAGAACAGAGGGGAGTATGGAGGGGTCAGGGACTAGGCAGGAAAGTTAATCAGCTTACTAGGTTGGGACTGAGCGGGGACCTGAATGGCAAATGCGTTCCGAGCATCTGACGGCCGGAAACCGAGTTGGGGCGGGGCAGGTGAGGGAATTCCCGCCCATCTCCACGCTGAGAGTCACTAGGCTTTTCCAATAAGGCGCAGGGACCCTGCTGTGGTGAATTGGCTGTGCCTGGTTGGCTGAGTGGGGAGGGTGGAGTAGGCCCTCTGAGTGCCAGACCCAATTAAAACTTAGAAGGAAAGAGATGCTTGCAAAGATGATGTCAGCATTGTGCAGAACTGTGTCACAAGAAAAAAAAAAGGTAAGGAGATAACTGCTGGAGTTTTAGAAACATGGTCTCTCAGGCTTCATCCCAGACCTGCTGGATCAGAATCTGCATTTTAATAAGATTTCGGAGGGATTCATAAGCATGTTAAAGTTTGAGAAGCATTCTCTTCAGCATGGTGTAAATTCTCAAATAAAAAGGTTTGCCTGCTTGGAGAGGTTAAGAGACCTGAGAGCAATTAGTGCCAGAAGAATTTTTACATTTTGCAGATGAACAAAGATACAGTTTAAAATGTGTAAATTAATGTTTTCAGTGAAAAAAAAAAAACCCAATGCATTTTAAGGAAACAATTAGATTAGGCATATTAATGACCACATATTTTTACGAGATGTAGAAAGTTCCAATTATTTATTAACAAGGGACAAATGAAGAAAAAAGAGGTAACACTGGGAACTTGTGCAAACTGTATCCACATTCTTCAGATAAGAAAGGAAGGAAAGAAGGACATATGTCCCTTCCTCCCTTTCTTCCTTCCTTCCTTCCTTCTCTCTCTCGACCCCCTACTATGCAGGTGGTAATTTACATACCTCATATTCTTGCACTCCTGTGCTGGTCTCACTGAGCCAGAAAACCAAGAAAGTGGAAATAAATAAAGTGGAAAATAAATAAATAAACCCAAAACCTTCAAATAGGGAATGTCTGTCCTAGAGACCTTTGGTGGCCCTGAACTGTTGAAATCACTGGTCAGAGACAGAGATTTCCCTGGCCATGGGACCTTCCAGGATACACCCAAGGACTAGTGGCTATGGTTTCTGGAGTCTCTATTGTATAGTGGGGGGGCAGTCATTAAAGCAAGGACTTTAGAGGCTGACAGACCTACGTTTGAACCGTGTCTCTACCATGTACTACCTGTGTGCTCTTGGGCACATCACTTGACATTTCTGAGTCTCAATTCTCTCAAATGTAAAATGGGGTAATAATAAGGGATAATAATACTTACTTTCCAGAGTTTTGAGGATTAAGGGAGGTAATATAGGCCAGGCCAGTGTTTAACAAAAGTGAGTGCCCTTCCTCTCCAAGGGAATTTTTTCGAGACTACTTAGATTGTGGTCTCCAAGGCCTTTACTCTGGGGCCTGCTCTTGAGGTGCTTTCTTTTCTCCTGAGTGGGGGAAGAGTCCTCCCCATCTTCAATAACAGGTTTCAGGGAAGAGAGAGATGGCGATAACAACTCTCCAAAGGCCTGACTCTCTGAGCCCTCCTCTTTCCCTTCCAATCAGAGCCTGGAAAAATGACTGGCAGAGAGAGGGAGGCTAGGTCAGGACTTGTCATGGCTGTGACAATCACCCCAACATCTGTCTGGGGATTTTAATACATCAAGGTTTTACCACATTTCTGATTCTTCTTTATCCCCAGAACCATCCCCAATAATCATGTAGGACCAGCAGAGGCCATATAAAGTACTGGAACCCCAAACCCAGCGTCAGAAAGACCTACACACAAACCCCAGCTTTTCTGCTTATCAGATGTACGTCTTTAGGCAAATTATTTAACTTTTCTGACCCTCAGTTTTCACATTTAGAAATAGGAGATTTTCATAGTCAGAATTAAATGGCATATGCAAAGTCTCTAATAGAGTGCTTGTTACATGCACTCTATAATAGCTAAAATGTTAGCTATTATAATTACCAGGATGAATATAATTAGCCCCATTTTTTTGTGTTTCTTTTTTTACTTACCATATCAAAGTTTTCCATGTTTCTCATAATTTCATAATTATGCTCTTTTTAAAATTGAGATATAATTGATATATAACATCATAATGAGCTTCGGGTATACAACATAATGATTCGATATTTGAATACATTGCAAAATAATCACCACAATAAGTCTAGTTAACATCCGTCACAATGCATAGTTACAAAATTTTTAGCCCCATTTTAAAGATGAGCAATTTGAGGCTTAGAAAGATCAAGACGCATTCAAGTCTTGTAATTTCCAGCCTGGAGCTCTTTCCAGCTTGTGGAAACTTTAGAGGGACTGTTGATCAGTGGCTCTGAACCCAGAGAGCTTTACCTGCCAAAGGTCCAGGCCAAGAACACCGATGTTATAATAGTGACAAATGGTGGGGTCGGGCTTATATTTAGGGTTGTCTATTTCTGGATGAATCCATTCCCCCTGGTAATTGGGATTGTCGATGATCCGAGGTTTCCATTGTCCCTAAGCAAAGAACCAAAGAGTGAATGTGGCATTAGTATTTTTCCATTCTTCTGACCTCATGCAATCAGAAAGACCAATCAATTTATAAGGACAGTTGTGTATTAGGCATAAGGATTTAGAGCAGGATTCCTGGAGCTTCTTTCCCATTCTTTGAGCAAATGCACAAGACTCTTCCAAGTTCCCCTTTCTACTCAGAGGGAGCTGAACAAGGTTACAGAGACCCATTTTGAGCCTGGCCCCATCTCTCGGCATAAGTTTATTCACGATGTTAAGAAAATGTAGCTTCACAGGGAACATCATCAAAGGACTCTGGCACTTGGGGCCATTCTCTTCCTGATGTGTAGCATAGAAAACTGTGGCCAAATAGAATCAGGCATCCTTCAGTCATTTTATCTCTGGACCGCTTGATAGCTGATTCCTTTAGTTCCCTCTTGCTTCTGACAAGAGGTCAGGAGTTTGCCCTTAAAAAGAAGCTCCCCCTCCCCCCAACACTTTTGGCTCATTCATGTCCTACCCTTTCCCTTTCTGGACCACTTCTGAGACTTTCAGTTCCTGACCCGAGACCCATTGCCTATTTTGACCATGTTCCTTTGGCTGCTTTCCACCACTCTGGACAGACCTCAGGATTTCAGAGTTTCTTTTTTGTAAATTAAAATTTACATTTCTTCTGTCTTATTTCTCACACTCGTTGGAAGGAAAGACCCCCTCACCTTATAATTCAGGTTTGGTATCAGGGGCCCTTCCCATTCCCCATCCATCGCCTCATTCCAGTCGTCTGGCTTCTTGGCATCTGGGTCTGGGATGTACTCAAAGTCCTCCCAGTCCTAAAACAAAACATTCCTCCATGAGGACAGATGTGTGGGCTGGGATGAAACTGGGGTCCTTAGTACAGTGAGGCTGGACCTGGCTCCCTACCCCACCACCCTCCTGTCCTTACCCCTATAAAAGCCCAGCCCATGACTCTAAATAAACCCAATACAGGAGAGAAAAAGCCTTCAAGCAACTCTAGCGTACTTTAAGCTCAAATAAGATGAGAATTTCCCTTGTCTCTGACCCCATCCCTTCCCCAATCATGTGCCCCTGTTGTCAGAACAGATCTTCTAGCCTGGGTCTCTCTTCCTGAAGACTTCTCTTGGTGACCTTCCCTGTACTCCAGGATGCTCCCAGACCTCTATCAGTCCTCCCTTATGCCCTAGGTCCCTTCTATTTCCCAAGATAGAGCTCCAAGTCACAAACAGCTTACCCCAACTTGCACATTTCTTTGGCTGTGGAGCCTCCAAAGTTTTGCTTTGTCTACCTGGCAGTTTACCTTGGTGCTAACCATTTGCCCAGACTGACTGAATGAAGGCTTCAATGCCAAGCCCACTAGACTCAATCATCAAGCAGCATGGCAACTGGGAAAAGTTCCCTGCTTCCTGGGCTGTCTCAGCTGCTTCGTGATTCCTGAGCCATAACAGTCAGCATCCTATCCTGGGGGCTATGATAGCCCTCCCACCTGTCTGACTAGTTTCCATCTTCTCCAGGTCCACTCAGCAGGGAGCGTAGAGGCCTACATCCTCTCCCTCCTCCTCCAGGCCTTGAGCCAGTCCTGACTATATCAGGTACATGGTCCTCACCAGGAGGGAGGGTCTGTGGTTAGTCTTGCTGTCCCTGAGCCTGCCTGCTGGGCCTAGAAGAAAGCTATCCCCTAATTTTCCTACGGTGCCGACGGCCCAGACACTGCCTGATCATCTGCCTTAATTCCCTGACTACAACTCCCTCCCCCTGGGATCGGAGCCCTTTGCTGAATCTCCCTATACGTGGCTGGGCCACTGCCCACCTCTCTGCAGGCCTCTCCTTGGGCACTGCATTCCAGCTGCTGGGTCCCATGCTTCCCTTGCTTAACCCCGAGCATCTTCTCTGCATGAGGCTGAATCTGCTCTGACCTGTGGAGTAGCAACGTAGCAGGCGAGGCCCTCCATGACCTGGCTCCAACAGACCTTCCCAATCTCATCTCCCACCACTCTCCGCCTTGAACTTTATGCTCCCAAAATACTAGACTGCTGCTTTCAGTTCTTCTTTTGTGTGTGTGTGTGAGGAAGATTAGCCCTGAGCTAACACCTGTTGCCAATCCTCTTTTTTTTTTTTTTTTTGCTGAGGAAGATTGGCCCTGGGCTAACATCCGTGCCCATCTTCCGCTACCTTATATGGGATGCCTGCCACAGAGCAGCTTGATAAGCGGTGCACAGGTCCATGCCCGGGATCCGAACCTGCGAACCCCGGGCTGCCAAAAGTGGAGTGCGTGAACTGAACCACTACATCACCGGGCCGGCTCCTGCTTTCAGTTCTTTATACAACCATGTTACTTTCCACTCGACTGTAGTGCCTTTGCTCCTGCTGTTCTCTAGGTCTGAAATGTCTTCTCTTCAACCCAACTCCCCACTTCTTTTGCTCTAGTGAATCACTGTTTGAAATTCAGTGTATTATTAACATATAAATGCCATATATTAAGGACTTACTATATACGAGGCACTATATTATGTATATTAGCTCATTTAATGTTCACAACAACCTTCACACATAGGTATTATAATAATCTCTGTTTGTGAAATTGACTTTCACAGCAGTCATGTTCCTTGCCCAAGGTCTAACTGTTAGTAGGTTGGCATCTCATAGTTAGTAAATGGTGGAGCTTAGATTCAAACTTGCATCTGTCTGACCCCAGAGTCTGTGTTTCCAACCTCTAGGGTAATCTAATCACTCAAGCATTGCCTTCCCAGACCACCACCTGCACCCCAACTCAGGCTGGGTTAGGAGCCTCTTTTGGGCTCCCACAGGATTTGGCTTCCCTGACTCAAGAATTTTCAATCCGTAGATTGTCCTAGTCCTAGCTGTATCCGGTACAGATTTCCAGCGAATGATAATGAATCAATGAATATACTCCACACACTCCCCACATCAATAAATTTGGAATCAGAGAGATCCAGGTTGAAAAGTTGGTTCTAACGTATGCGTGCCTGGGCAAGTCACTTCATTTTCTAAGTGTCAGTTTCCTTAACCCTAACATAGACATTATAGCACACTGGTCACAGAGGCTGCCAGAAGGATTAATAGATCCTCAACAAATGCGAGTTGCTTCCCTCTTCCATCCAGGTCTCTTTGGATACCAATATTTAGCTTGAGGGATTGATGCCCCCAGTTTCTGCACCATTGTTCCCAGCCTCCTTTACCCAACCCCACAGCTGAGATCTCCTCCTGCTTCCCAGCCAAACACCTTCTGACCTCAGGTTTCTTATCTTCAGGATCCTCTATTTGCAGACGTTCATCCCATTTCCTTGGTTTCCGGGCATAGGGATCTTTTATCTTCCTGGGAGGCAAGAAGTCCCAGTCGTCCTCCAGACCCCCAGCTGCTACTTGCTGGTTGTCAATTTTGACCTCATAAGTAGCATTGGGGCGAATGATCAGAGTGTACAGGTGAGTGTCTTTATTGATCTAGAAGGAGAATGGGGAATATTTCAGTTCCATATTGTACATCTTTATACCTCAAGCATTAAATGCACCACCTAAAACAGACACAGTTCCTGAATGCCAGCCCTACATATTCACAAACACACTTTACCACATCTCTCATCCCATTTCTCTGGTTAACCCAATAGAGACCCTGGGTCTCATTCTCCTAGTACACACTCCTCTGGTCTCCCCTAGCTCCCGTGCTTCCCTCCATCACAGCTCTGGTCATTCTCTGATCTTCTCCATCTTTCTGTCTGTCCCATTAGACTGTGAGCTTCTCAATGGCAGGGGTCTGTCTGATTCATCTGCTGTATCCGCAACTTCAAACACAAGTCCTACCCCAGAGGAGGATCTCAGGGAGCCCCTACGTGTACTACCCCTGTACAGTCCTGCTAGGGAAGGCCTTGGGCCTGAACACAGGTTCTACAATGACCCAGGACCCATGGGCTTCTCTAGACTCAGTCTCTGCCTCTCCCCTGTGCTCTAGCTGTGCCAAACTTCTTGCAGTGCTACCTTTTTTCAAGTCTCCTTGACTTTTCACATGTGATTACCTCTTCTAGGAATTCAGTCTTCCCTAAAATTGTCACACTCCTTCACAAGATCAATTCATGCTCATCTTTCAAAGCTCAGCTCATCTTTCAAAGGGGGAAACCTTCTCTAAGAAGCATTTCCTAAGCCTCCAGGTCAGGTAGGGGGTCTGCTCTGTGCTCTCAGACACTACTCATACCAGATAGTTATTCTTCTCTGCTTGACTCTTACTTTCACTGGACTGTGAGTCCTGTGAGGTCAGGGGCCACGTCTGGCTCGCTCTATCCCTAGCCCAAGGCCCAGCACAGAGTTAGCATTTGGTGAACGCCTATTGAGTTGCTGATGAAATCCAGCTATTATCCTTCAGTCAACCTAGATCTCTCTAACCTGATGTTACTAAGATAAACCCGCCCCCCATTTCTAAGCCCAGCACTCCCCACCTCTCCAATTTCTTCCACAATCTAGCAGTGGGGAACTGGGCCATGCCAAGCATTGATCCAATAGAGGACCTTATATGACTCCCTAGGCTTCCAGATCAACTGCTCCTATGTGAACTCCTGTAATTTACAGCATTTCTCTAGGTCTACTTCCTAATCTGTAAAATGGAGATGATAGAATTTAATTTATAGGGTTTTTGTAAGAATTAAATGAGATAACATATACAACATGCTTACCCTTCCCCCAGGCTGGGAACCAGCCCACACACTCACCCTGCACTTGATGGTCTTGTTGTTCTCATGGTATTTCCCTTGGTGACGAAGGATGACCTGTACTTTGTTGTTGCCAAAGCCACAGATGTCAGGGCCTGCAAATTAAATGCCAGTGCATGATTTCACATCACTTTTAGGCAGTTTGCCTGGTCTGAGGCCAAGACACATACAAGCTGTGTGTTTATCAGGGTCTCAGCAGGAAACAGATAATAGATTCAAATTTAGGATTATTTGAGGAGAATTTAATAAAAGGACTATTTACAACAGTAGGAGCAGAACATTGAGAAAATATAAAGAATTTTCCTATGCTCTGGGCTAGCCACAGTAGGGCTGCTCCCACGCCTAGGCCTGAAGGAGCAGCAAGAAGGAGTTACCAGAGCCCAGAAGAAGAAGTCCTGTGGAGAGGGCAGCCAGGAGAGAAGCTGTGACTTTCAGTCAAGAGACACAACCCACTTTCCTCCCTCTGATCTCCTGCTAGGGCTCCCACTGACCAAACTCAACCAGAAGCCCCTCCTGTGCCAGGCACCTTATACCATGTCATTTAATTCTCACAACAAGTAGGTGTTACTGTCTTCACTTTTAGCTGGGAAAATAGTGGCTCAGAAAAGTTAAGCAATTTGTCCAAGGTCAAACAGCTAGTAAGTAGCAGTACTGGGCTTCAAACCCAAGCTTACCTAGAAACAGAGCCTGGGGCTCTTTCTGCTTTGTGAAAACTTTTAGGGAACTGTTGATCAGTGGTTCTGAGCCCAGAGAACTTAACCTGACAAAGGTCCAAGAACAAGTTTTAACCTAGTTTTCAACCCATCTCCCATATTATTGCTCTCTGACTATTCTAAACACACACACACACACACACACACACACACGATGTGCTCTACCACACTGGTCTTATCATTTTTCTACTTGCATTTTATTTATTTATTTATTTATTTGTGAGGAAGATTGGCCCTGAGCTAACATCTGCCAATCCTTCTCTTTTTTTTTGCTGAGGAAGACTGGCCCTGGGCTAACATCCGTGCCCATCTTCCTCTACTTTATATGGGGTGCTGCCACAGCATGGCTTGACAAGTGGTGCATCAGTGTGCACCCGGGATCCCAACTGGTGGACCCTGGGCCGCCACAGCGGAGCGCGTGCACTTACCAGCTTGTGCCACTGGGCTGGCCCCTCTACTTGCATTTAAATTTCTTGTCACTGAGCTTTTGCACACACTGTTTCCTCTGCCCTCATTACATTTCCTCCATCTCCTGCCTATTAAAATCTGACTCATTCTTCAAAGAACAATTAATACCTCCTCCTAAAAGCCCCCAGTTGGACTAAGTCATGCCATCTTTTGTGATCTCATAGCACCTCAACAATACCTTTTTAAACAACAATGCCTTTTATTCTGCCTTTCAAAAAAATCACTGGGGCTGGCCCCGTGGCATAGCGGTTAAGTGCACACGCTCCGCTTCGGCAGCCCGGGGTTCGAAGTTTCGGATCCCGGGCGCGCAGCGATGCACCGCTTATCAAGCCATGCTGTGGCGGCATCCCATGTAAAGTGGAGGAAGATGGGCACAGATGTTAGCCCAGGGCCAGTCTTCCTCAGCAAAAAGAGGAGGATTGGCATGGATGTTAGCTCAGGGCTGATCTTCCTCACAAAAAATAAAATAAAATAAAAATAAAAAAATTATTTACATCCCTGTGTCCCCACCAAACAGAAGGCTAAAGGGTGGAGTAGAAAAAAGCACAGGCTTCAAAGCCGGGCAGATTAGGGTCTAATTCTGGCTTCCCACTTCCTCACCTTGGGCAAATTTCTTGCCTCTGTTTCCTCATCTGTAAAATGGAGATGATAACAGCTCGAACTTGGGTTCTTTGAGCATATATAAATAATATTCACATGAAAAGAAAAAAAATCACATTTAAAAAACATTATTTCCAATTTTTCTACTACAACCACTCCCTGTGAGAAGGGTGGGATTCTGAAAAAAAATAGAGATGGGCAAAGACACACATTTTAAATACCCAGAGTGCTATATTGCTCTACATAAGAAAGAGATCGAAAAATAAGAAAGAAAGAGTTGAGGGAGAGGGGATGTGGACAGAAAAAGGGCAAAGAGACTGAGGAGGAGGATTTTGGCAAGGGCTTGAAAAAAGAGATCTGAAGCTCCCTGGGGGAAAAAAAGAAATGTTTAGAGAGAATTTTAAGGAAATTTTGCTGTATGACGTGTAATGTAACCATTTCCTCCAACTTTGCACAAAAATATTTGGTGAAATCCACATTCTTCATCAGTGCTTTGGGAGATGGATTAGTTGTTGTTGTTTGTTGTTTTTTTAATATCAACCACGTTGAAACTGGACTGGAGTTTGGGGCTAAGTAAGATCTGGACTGCCCCAGGGTTGAGGTTACAAATGCAACACTCTGGACTCATTACAGATGCTTGACAGAGGTCATTTCCCTGACCTTCTGTGGGCAGGAACCTCTTTCAGAGCACAAAGCCTTAGTGTAGGAGGTGCATTTGAGAGAGTCTACACAGTTTATGATCCCCTTCTCCTTTTCTGAGAACTGGAGAATGTCTCTCTGACTGTAGACTTGTTAATACCATGTGACTCTACACCTCTTTGGTCTATTTATACTAACATTTAGGTTTAGAGTTGCTTTTTTCAGGTCTTTGAAGAGTCTTACTACATAGGGAAGTGGATTAGAAATTTCGTGTTCCAGATCCATCTGAGCCTTTTCAACAAATCCAGTGGCCCTCATTAAGACCTCATGGGGCTGACAGCGACTGCTATCAGAGCTTACCAAACATGATGTAATACTCGGATTCTGAATGCATATCTTCCTGGTTCAGGGTGTCAGGAAAGAGCTTCACATACCCGCCACCACAATCAATGCCTTGCTCGTGTTTTACTGAAAACTGAACCACCAAGGTCTCATTCTCATTGCTGAATGGCTTAAACCTGGTGGAGAGGGCATAAAACTTGGCATCTTCGCTGGTCTGGAGACCTAGGAGCAGACAGCACAGAGTCTTTAGGCTTAAATACCCAAAGGGCAGCCAGAGAGACACAGCATTTGGTCGCACTGGTGCTTTCTTACACACCTATTGAGTGCCAGGTACTGTTCTGGCTGCTTTACACACATAATCTTATTCAAGCCTCAGAGCAACCCTGCAAAATGGGTATTATCTCCACTTTACACGTTAGGAGTCTGAGTCATCGGGAGGTAAAGTGACATGCCTAGGGCCATACTGCTAGTAAGGAACTAAACTGGGATTTTTAAGCCATGTTTGTCTAATTCTTTCTTTCCTCTATGCCATACGGCCTCTGACTTTCAAGAGATACTTGAATATCATTCTTCAGCTTTACAAAACAAGGCCCTGTTTCTTCTGAGACCCCCTGGGTGGCCAGAATCAGGTTCTGCCATGCACAACTGCTGTGGTAGGAAGAGGCTCAGCACTGCCTCTTAGAACAAATAATAACCATTGCTAATATTTATTGAACACTTCCTCTTTACCAAGCAATATGTTTCTTTCATATGTATTACTGCACTTAATCCTCATAATAACCCGCATGAGGTGGGCTCTACTGCTATCCCCACTTTACCATGAAGTCATTGAGGCTATTTCACTTGCCCAGGATCACACAACCAGTCTAATTCTAGAGCCCCTACCCTAAGATTTTCCTCCTCCTCCAGAGAATATCAGAGCTATAAGGGATCTCAGAGCCTTTCCAGTCTAACTACATTACTTTATAGATGAGGAAACCAAGCCCCGGAGAGGGAAAGTTACTTATCCAAGATCATACAATCACAAATGACAGAAATATAAGCCAAGTCTCCTGACTTCCAGGCTAGTGGTCTTTCCATTATTCCATGCTGCTACCCAGCTAACTGGTTATGGCTCTGACTGTTGCTTTAACTCTCTGAGCCTCAGTTTCCTCATCAGCAAAATGTGGATAATTCTTCCTACCTCATAGGGTTCCCATGAAAGTCAAATGGGTATGAGATGTGAGAAGCACTTTGTAAACTGTCAACATAAGATGGAAGAGGCTATCATTATTCATGCTCTGTGAGGGTCCTTCCTTCATGATCCCACAGCACTCTGTACTTCCCTGGGTCGTGCTAGGTTGCAAATAGATTTATCTCGTCTCTTTGAATAATTTTTAAGCTCCTGAAGAGCAGGGGCGTCTTTATATTCCCAGCATCTAAGACAATGTCTGACACAGAGGAAATGCTGAATAAGTATGTGTTAAATTACACAAAAGGATCACAAGTCCTGATTCAGATGTCTCTTGAGCATTTATTGCACACCAAGCTCTGTGCTAAGCACTTTCATGTCTGATATTGCATTAGGAGCTGTCTGCATTTTAAAGAGTATCCTTACTTCCCCAAAGACCTCAAGTGAGGCTAGAGTAGCCAGAGAAGACTTTAAGGAAGAGGAAGCGAGCATAAGGGAAAGAGCACTGAACCGTGGGCAGAAGACCAGGCTTTGAATCTCTGCTCTACCAAACCTTGCTATGTAGCCCCATGTAATCTCCCCTCTTTCTGAGCCTCATTTGTACACAAGAGCCCTCCTCGACAATCAGGGGGAACCTAATGAACCTAAGTGGGATGAGATGTGAGGAGCAACAACCAAGAAATCAAACTGAGAGGAGATGGGTGGCTGTGTAGACTGCTCTAAGAGCCACCAAGAAGCAGACATCCCACGGGTCACTCAGTCTCCACTTCTCTCTCTGCTGGAAACAATTTTCCAGAGTGGATTTAAATAAGATTTTAAATGCTCAAGCCAGTTCGCAATTCTCTCCTTTTATAAACATGAAAATGAGATTCATAACAGTAGCCAGGAGAGAAAAGATGGGAAATCACTCCAGGGGACAATCAATGTATTCTATTTATAGGACAAAAGCTTTCTCAGACAAAAACCCCTTGCCTGCAGACCTTGTCCTCAGAGCTCCCCCTTCCCTCATAATATTATTTGGCTCATATAGCAGCTCTAATGATCATGGCAGGTGATGATTATTATTTCCATCTAATATCAAGGCTCAGAGAATTGAAGAGACTTGCCCAAATTATGCAGCCAGCAAGTCACGGGAGTTAGCCCTAGATCTGTCTGCTCCACTCTCCATTGTACCAAGCTGCTCCAGGGCAGAGCAACATTTGGAGGTTATACAATGCTCTTCCCTGTTTCAAGTGCAGTGTTATATAAAAAATTCTAAGCTTGAGGAAAGCAATATAGTCCACTGGTAATGAATACAGTCCTGGAGTCAGACTTAGAATCAGATCTCAGCTCTGCCTCTTGCCAGCTGTTTATATAGCCGTAGGCAAATTACCCAACCTCTCTGAGACCCCTCTACAAAACTGAGAACATAATAGTAACCATCTCATAAAGTTTTTAGGAAAATTAATGAGGATAATGTGTCTAAGGCTTAAGTTTTAAATACCTCTCACTCAATAAATGGACACTATTATTTTTGTGGAGAGTTCATCCTTCTCCATCTACCATTTTTTTACTTCTAAGAAAAAAATGAATTGGTAATCATGCATAAAAACAATTGTATGAAAGTTAGAATTTTCCCAGTCAATTAGTATATTTCTGAATTCCAGTATTTACCTTTATCTTTTTCTTTGTCTCCATAAAATTTTCCTGCAGTGAGCTGAAATTTACCATAATCCGGCCTATGTTTAGATTCCACCCAACGTTTTTTCCATCCATCTACGGGGTAAAGAAGAAAAAAAGCAACACATAGAAATAATTTTTGTTTTCTTAAAGACAATAAGATGCAGCTAAGGCTGACCAAGACTTATGGGAACAGTAAGGGAATATCGGGATAACTCCGATATTCCTGAAATCCCCCTCACTATCTGATGCCTGAATGCCACCATTTGTGTGCTACCACATGGAGTGGCTCAACTACCAAATAGTTGAGCCACTTATACATTAATGTTCCACTCCAGTCTCCTCTATGAGAGTTAGGTCCTGAACCACCATGGGAATGTATGGTTGAAAGGCATGGGACATTCTCATAAAAGTAGGTGGAAAATATGTTCATGGGGACTAAGCCATTGTACATATTTATGTTAGTAAAATAAAATAATAAAATCAGCTCACCAAGTAAAGAGATTAGCAATACTATTTTATCCTTCTTGAATTAGTAATGATGATATTGAACAATCAATTTCCATTTACCCTTTTTTATTGCTTAAACTTTTTAGACTCTCCCTTGCAGTTTCAAGGAGATGCTGATAAATTTGTTTTGCTTTGGCATAGATGGCATGTAGACAAAGAGGCATTCTTTTTGGGACCTGGCACTCCACCCAAACATTCAATGCCTTTCTGATTTTATGCCTCAGAGTTGCTGACTCCCATTTCCTGGGCTTGCTATGGTCTCAGAGTCACAGGGCAACTTGGCAGCTTGAGAAGGAAGAGGCCTTAGAGGTAGCCCTTATTTCATCTCCTCCCTGCAGCTGAATGGATATTTCTCAAATCCCACTATCCAATATCTAGGGTTATCTTAGCTCTGCCCATGAAAACCCCACATCAACATACATCCAATAAGACCACCCTGAGCTGGCTCTGTCAGCTCCTGTCACTCAAGTCTAATGACTCAACTACCTCCCCTCAGGAGGTCCAGAAGGTGCGCTTGCTTCCTATGGACTTCCCTTGTCTCTCCCAAGATCTGAGTGTTGGAAAGGCCAGGAAGTCTTAGTGACCACCTCACCCATAACTCCTGAGGGAGGGGCCCCAAGAGGTTCTTTCTGCCTAAAGTTGCTGTGGCTTGAATGAAGTGGATCCTGCTTCCCTGACCACAGTTGACTCAGTGAATAATAAGGATTGATGCCAAAGTGGAAAGATTTGTTATTATACATTAGGCCCCTGTATGACTAAAATTTCGCCTCGTTTACTCCCATGGACAATGTTATGAGATAGGTATCATTAGTTCCATTTTGCATCTAGTGAATGGTGAATTTGAGATTTGAACCCAATTTCTGTCTGATTTCAAACACTGCCTTTCCTCTGGAAGAAGAGGAAGATACAGGGAAAAGTGCTATGAAGAAAAAACATTGTATAATCACAGTAATAGCTACTGTTTAGCAACTGTATGTCAGGCATTGTACCGCATACTTTACATGCATTATCTCATTGTGTTCTCATAATAGCTCTGTGATGAAAGTCTTATTTTTTCCTCCACTCAAAAAATGAGGAAAGTGAAGCTCAGAAATTTGTCCAAGAGCCCAGTTTGTAGGTAAGTGTGTAAGCCAGGCTCAGACCCAGGCCTATCCAACAGCAAAATCTGTACTTTTAACCCTTATACTACATGGCTTCCCATGAGGTTATGTGCATGAAAATCCCTTTATAACCTAAAGAGTACGCAGCAAATGCAACAGTCAATCATAGTACTTTACAGTTTGTAATTAACAAAGTTATTTGTGTATAATTTGAGTAATGTCTGTCTTCTCCACCAGATTATAAGTTCCATAGCTATTTTACTTACCATTGTGTCCCCTGTATCTAGCATAGAGTAAATCACCAAAAATATTTGTTGCATGATTAAATAAATGCATGATCATGTCTTTTGCCTATGCCATAAGATTCTCAGCCTTGCAAATGGATTGATTCATTTCTTAATCCATTTGGCAAATGTTAATTGAGCCTAACAAGCATGTAGAAAGCCAACAACTTTGACCTTGAACTTTATGGTTGGAGACTTTAGAACAGAACTCAGAACTTCTTATCACTAATTATTTTTCTGGGTGAATAGTATTGATACATATCAAACTTGACACAATTTGAGATGTCCAAAATAAGGAGCTTTTCTTGTTAGGAGAATAATGTCACATGGCTAATAAAGTCCCACTTTAATGTTTTATACTTTTCCTCTTAACATTGTATCATCTTAACATCATACAAGGCTCCAGCCAGCATGACCCTTGGTGGTCATTTAATCTGACCTCCTCATATTACAGATAGAGAAATTGAAGCCCAGAGAAGGAAAAGACTTGCTCATGGACACAGAACTGTCAGTTGCAGAGCTGAGACCAGAACCCAGTTCTTCTGCACCCTGGCTCTGGGCTTATTATTCTTTCATTCAACAAGTATTTCTTGAGCATTCACTCTGTGCCAGGCACCAGGTGCACAGACATGAATCTGACAAGGTCCCTTCAGGGACATACGGACTTCAGGGAGCTCAGAGTGTGGTGGAAGAGACCAACAAGTAAATTATCACAATACAGTGTGGTAAGGGCAGTGATAGAAAGAAGCACAGGGCAATGAAATTCACTTACTGGCCTCCAGAGTCAGGATAGATTTCAGAGAAGGCAAGCCTGAAGAAGTAAGAATTGAAAAGGCAGAAAAGATGAAGAATGGCTGTTCCAAACAGAATGACTTGCATAAGCAAAGGCCCCGAGGCATGAAACAGCCTGGTGTTAAAAGGGAAACACAAGCAGTACTGCATTGTACAGGGGAGAGGAGAAGAGAGGAGACGGGCCAGCTCAAGGAAAGCTCTTACTAATTGAGAGCAAGAGAGCATTGTATTAACCAAGGTTGGATATTATTATCTTTTTTCCTCTGCTAAATCTTTCCTTCAAATTGGTCAAATATCTGTATGTCCCCAGAGATCCATCCAACAAAAAGTAACAGGTATTTGGGAGCTGGCACATCTAGTTGATAAATGTACATAATCACAACCAAGTCTCTAAAGATACAGAACCAAGGGGGCCACATAACCATGATTCCTCCGTCAAATGGACTTATCTCCACATTGCACCTCCCAGGATGTCTGGCTTATAACCAAAAGACTGGGCTAGGGACTCATCTCTGCCACCAGCTTCAGCAGTATCTTTAGGCTCTCTGAGACTCAGTTTCTTCATCTCTAGAAACACATAGATACAGAGAACAGATTGGTGGTTACCAGAGGGGAAGGGGGGTGGGGGGAGGATGAAAGGGGTAAAGGGGACGTTTGTATGGTCACTGATGGCAGCTAGATTTTTGGGGGTGAACATGATGTAGTCTATACAGAAATCAAAATATAATGACAGGTTGGCCGGCCCTGTGGCTTGGTGGTTAAGTGCGCG